ATAATAATAATAATAATAATGATTTAAAAAGTAGTTTCAAAACCTGTTTGTGCACCTGTGTATTTATGAGAGGTATGGTTTGAAGTTGCCAATATGGTTGGACATCTGGGGAAAAGCGTGGGTAGGCTGTTTTACATTCCCAAGAGAGCATTGCTATTTTCAAGTGTGTAGGGTGGATTTGTGGGTCTGAATTCTTTGCAGGTTTGCAAGTCAGGGTCTCGAACCTCAGAGCAGCCCCAGGAAGCCAGCCTAGGGCTGTCGGTACACTGGGTCATAAGATGTAAAGACCCAGTGCATCAGCCTGACTGTCTGTATAGGGAGAATTATATGAGCGAGGTCCTGTGTATATAGCTACCACAGGACTTGTGTGGAACTAAGAGTATATGTAGATAAGAATTGGAAGACTCAATGTCCTTTAAACTGTCTGTTGGTTTAAGTCATTTTATTGGGGAACCTTGCTGAAAAGCTTTGGGAGCCTTTGACTATAGTCTCAGCTGGCCTGATTTGTTTACTTTTTGATGCATCACATGAGAATTATCTGTATAAAGATAAGGTGCCTTGCAGAGCTGCAGCTCAGCCGGCCATATGCTTAGGTAATGATACCACCCAATTCCAGCATAGCAGTTAGCAGTTGTTCAATACACACTTCATAATCTTCTTGATAAAATTATCAGTTTTCATAACATCCAGGCATATGTGTGGCTGTGTGTGGACCCAGCCATAGCATGGGAGTTTGCCTCAGAAGGAGGAAAGAGAAATTCTCTGGAAGGCATTTCTTTGGGACAGAACATTTTTTTTTCAGCATAAATTGCATTCTGTTTAAGCACAGAATTTTTCCTTCCATGATCTGTCTCATCCTCTAGTCTATAAGACAAACTGGCTGAAATTAGTGCATGTTGGGAATGACATAAGCTGTTCCTAGCAATACAAAAGTGTACTCACTATATGTATTTCATACTGTATGACTTCATATATTGAGTGTATATAGTGCATGCTGCATCTCTTCACAATTGATGTCCTCACATGCCTTAGGTTGTTTAAACCTTGCATCATCTTAGTGATTCAGCTCAAGGCTTATTCTAATGGCTGTGTTGGTTGCACAGTCCTCCTCACAAGTCCTGGATTTTCTTACCTGATGGGAGGAGAAGCACATCTTGTCCCTTCTTAACAAGGGTCACCAAAATGCCAGGATCTAAAAGTAGCTGTGACTTCAAACACAGGAGAAGGGGGCACCCTCAAGACCCTTCTCCATGTATTTTTGGGCTCCTCTGAGAAACTGCAGAAGAATTACAAAAATGAGTAATGTTCCTTTTCTGCTCGCCTATGCTGAAGCACAGGGCTAGCTTTGGCTGGAGAAACTACTGTGGAAGCTGCTGTTTAGTGACTTGTGAATGGATTTCCCCAAAACCAGAATGTCTCTGCCTTTTCCAGGGCAGTTCATCTCATATCGGTAACTGCACCTGCGCAAAGGAGGTTTCGACCCCTCTCTCTGTGCCAGTACTGAGGAACTGAGATTTCCTAAGATAGAATGCACAGAGTCTGACAATAATTCTCTATCTAGTTCAGAAAAACATTTCTACATGCAGTTTTAAGAGACAACATGTCAGGCCAGCAATCTAAACTGTGCTGGGGCCAATTTTAAAGCCCAGGTTTTACATTATAGAGACTGCTTGTTTTAATTGCCACCAGAGTGGAGCACCTAGACTGTACTGTGAATAGAGAGGTTGCTTCTGTCAAGACACTTTCACAAATGCTAACAGGCACTACATAGCCTTGCTTAAAAATATTCAGTGGCACTTGCATAGTTTTAAAAGTAATTTAAGGGCACTTTATTTTATATCACTTTAAGCGACTTAGAACAAAGCTGCAAAATAATTGTGGTGCTACAAGTATTCTATATGCAAGGGAAGGGAAAATGCTGACTTTAACTGTATCAGGAATCACAATTTTTGTGGTTTTTTTTTTTTTGTGTATCTTTTTGCTGGAAATACTTCATTAAGCAGAGAACTAGTGAGTGTGGACTTCTGGAAGTTTTATTAACAGGACTCTTTTACCCTCTTAATTGTTACTGAAAGTCAAATGTTATAAACCCCTCAAACCTATTCAGCGCCCGTTCAGGTAAAGATGCACGCCTGTTATTTGGCAATTTTCTGACCCTTGCATTACAAAGACATTATTCTCGGTGCTCTACTGCTTGTGTGTAGGCTGCTTATTAGTGTGAAAATCTGGGAAGGGAAACATTTTCGGAAACCTTGTGCCGATAGGCCACATATGCCCACTGTTTTTAGCCATTCACCAGCATGGTGGCACTCTGCTATGAACATGTAGCCCTACTTGACCTATACATTAGTAAATGTGCAGCCATGTAGCGTAAATTCAGGACATGCTGACTGATAGCTACTGAAGAGCTACTGGTAACATCTTCCTTAAACACTCAAGGCATTCCGTTCTTGTTTTCAACAAGTCACACTTAACAAGGCTTTTTTTTTAAAAAAACCTATTTTACTGGCTTTATGAGGTCAGGAAACTCTACAGATAGCAAATTTATATTAAATATTTAGGCTATATTGGTTTTTTCCCAAATTCTTTGCAGCTGTATGCTTTGTCAGGCTTCCCTGTTATCAAATATTTACAGTGTTTTTGCACGTGGCTCCATGTTATATGCGAATGCCCTGTGTGTTATATAGATAATTCTCAAGTTAATAGGAGGGCTGGTACTGCCCTTGTACTTGATGTTAATATTTAGTTACTCAGACGTATCAGGTACTATCACCTTCACTCTGGGACAGAATTTCATAGAAATCCATAATATTCTGTATGTAACATTTAGATCTGGTCATATATGGATCATTAAGGAAAGATCATTAAGAAAGGGTAACTAGGATCTAATAATGACTACCTGACCATAACATAGTATTGATGAGCCTCTGCAAATTTTTTGTAGTGATAGTTGTTACAACATTACCCATGGTGTAAAACTACTGTGATGTAAAGCAACCACAGTGTTAAAATTGCTATTCTGGTGGTGGAGCAAGAAAAGGTTTTTCTCACCCCATAAATTTTTTTCAAGACCTTAGCTAATTTTTTCCCCTTACAATGGAATTAAGAATCTGCAATTTTTAAGATTTTTGAACTCATCATCTGATATTTTGTATTGTCAATTGAAATATTTTAAAATATAATTTCAATTCATATATTTCACTTTGTCTGATTTAATTTTAGTATTGTTAAACATTTTAAAAGTAATGTCATTCCAAAAATCATAAGACGTGCTGGCCAACAGTTCAGAAGTTACTAGGAGGAAAAGGGGAAGACAGACATATAAACACACACATAGAATAGGATCACATAAACCTTTCTATTCTATGTATTTGTGGGTGTATGTATCCTTTGAAGCTTTTCTCTATATATCATTTCCTATGCTAGTCTATAGATGACCAGCAAGTTGGCCTGCAGGAAAGACAGCATGTAGATCTAAAGCTGCTGGAGATCTGACACAGTTATTTATATTTATCCATATGTTTGTGAACAAGTCACCCATGAGTTTGGGTTTAGGCTGGATTATATGTAAAGATGATCCCAATTAATCGATTACTGGGACAACACATTACAATGTTTGGGTATTTATTTTACAGCACCTACTCTCTCTCTCTGCATTGAATTTGTTATTCTCTTGTTGTACAGGTTTTAGGGAGCAAGCCAGCGCTTCCTGAGAGTGATGATGGTGATGATGAGCTGGCCGACATTACAAACAGGAGAAGTGCTAAACTATATATGGTAAGTTATTTATTTATTTATTTATTTCAGTTGCGTACACTCAACAGTATTCATGCATTCATCCATCCCTCATATATGGAGTTCTGGCTTCCGTTACAGAACTGCAGTTGTGTTAGTTGGTTTGCAGCCAATGGAGAAGTTTCTCAAAGGATGTCAATCAAACAGCCCAGGTAATTTGAGGAAAAAAATGGATTATGGTCCTGTTTACTCAGGAAATGAGTTAAGCATGGCCTATGAACCACTCAGTGCAGGTCAAAGAAGAATTAACTGGTCTTAAATCAAACTATGTTTCCTGTCTTCTTGATTTTAACAATGAGAGTTTTAGTAGTCATATATGATTTAGTTATTCTTAGCAAAGTTTGAAAGATGGAAAGTTATGTTATATTTTGTATATAAATCCAAAGGAATTTGAATGCAAAACTCCTGTCTTTTGCAGTGCACATTTCCTCCTTCCTCACCTGCAATGGCTTAACACTGACTGGGACAGTGCCATTGCCAGAAAAATTACCTGCAAACAAAATGGATTAAATATTTGCTCCATTTAAATCAGTAGGAGTTTTATTATTACATTCGATAAAGTTATGATTTTTCCTCATGTCATGCTAGACATACTGCTCTTTCCTAGAAGAGGCATGGAATTTATTCTTCAAACTAACAATACAGTATCTTACCTATATACAAGGCTGCACAACTATTTTTTTTTCTGAAAAAAAACCCAAACTATTTCCAGGCCTGTA